TACCTATGCACTGCTCACTTTTTTTTCTGCCTTAGTCCTGATTTATGCGATCTCTTTTTTTTTGTTTTTCCCCTGCAGATACTATCCTTGGCCACATTTGTCAAGTTTTGGATTAATTTTGGTAGGTAAGTGTGACGGTGCGGTCCACACATCCACTTTTGATGGCAGTCCTACGTCTGCACCTCTTCACGGTTGACCCTCGGATTTTGTCCGGAAAATATATAGCATACGCAGATGGCGAATCTGAAGCGGCTTAATATCTGAGGGAAAACTGAGAACAGGGCGAAGTAGTCGAAATGGCACCTTTCAGTGTGGTCAATGGTCACGCGGATGTCTGTCAACAGTCGTTTGTGGATTCACCCCGCGCACCGTATACCTTTCCGCCATGGCCGGCGAAAATCCCAGTCATCTTCCGGCCCCCGACGCGTATGCGGACTTGGAGGATATTCGACAATGCTCCCCAAGCGCTTTGCCTCATTGTCGCCGCGTTCTTGGATGACGACTTGTTGCCACTCGACGTGCTTTACACGAACCTGGAGCGGTGCAGACCCATTCTGACGCGTCATGACGACCTATATGCAATGTAGAAAGAATCTCATGCATCGAGAAATTTTGACCCTCTCAGAAATCATGGTGCGTGAAATACTTCCTTGTTTACGCCGGGTGCCTACTGTCTCGGGTCTGCCTAGCGTACCAGGCTGGCACCACACGTAAGTGAACCAATCGTTTGAAACTTCGCTAATAGAGTACATCTGGCTCGGGTATTCATTGACGAAAATGGCACGTATTATCCAATCCTACGCGAGATCCTCGATGGCCTGGATGATGAGCTCCATCGCCCGCTCGTCACGGTGGGAACAGAAATACCAAAATCAGGGTTCCAAAATTCCTGAAACGTGGATCGCCACCGGTGGTGGGGCATTCGACGACGAGGGTATAGACCACGAATCTGTCGCGCGCTACTTGCCTCCGTCGTATGCTGAAACGAAGGCCGGGGAGGCTTTTTGGGGCCTAGTCTACCGGCTACCGTCCGAAGAATAACCTGGAATTTGTGCGGACCGAAACTGAAGAACGGGTAGATATCAAGATCTCCCCAATAAACTGTGATGTCCTCGCGTTCCGTATCCGCCCCTGTCCTCATGCGTGCCCAGATTGATTTATACCGCTTATTTAGCCGCCTTTAACTCATTGACCTCAGCAATCCGGGACGTTCTATTTCATTCAGTGACCGGCCAACCCCCCCAACCCTTTAGTGTGGATGATATTAAAATTATAGATCGGGCGTTTGGTCGATTTCTCGATGACCAAATGTCGCGCATCGTTATCGATGAGCCGCTCATGCTCGTCGCTGCAGCACGATGGCTTTCGAGCAACCCTGTTGGGTACTCCCGTTCCGAGGATGACTTGCCGAGAGACTCGTTGGAAATTCTCCAGCTATACGTGCCTCCTTCATACACCTTTTTAACGTCTCTGGTGATTTACCTCACCCACGCATTTGCACAAGGATATCCAATATCTAAAGTTTTCTCCTTTCCCCACTCGAATATTCCCGAGTGTACCAAGCAGAAGGCCGATATTGTTGCATTTCATCAACGCGATGGTCGGGCTGTGCAATACACAGTAGCCGAGGATGCCTTAACGTTGGCTGTGACTCGGGGCGTCGCTAGTTTGAACACAAGCTTGTTCAAGACCCTCGCAACGACGATTCCAGTCACCACAATTTTGAAGAAAATGGTGGACGCAATCACTTTAGGGAAGCGCAAGCGCTGTTCAGAGGAACTTTAACAAAAGACAAAACGACACAGATCAATTCCGCTACCTGCCGCGTCGTAGTCGTAGACTTCGGTACCACCGAAGCTCGTTAGTCGCGCTGACTGCAGATAGAGCGGAAGCATTTGAAATGTGAAGTGTGGGTTTGGTTCAATAAACATGCATATTTTTGGAACTTGATTGGAGAGAAGAATGTTTGCACACAACACACACTGGTTGAACATTTCAAGTTTTGCACTGAAAATTTTGGTGAAAAATGTTTTGGATTTTACAGCAATTTTTCGCCACAAAAGTAGGTGAAAAACTTAAAACATTTTGGTGACTTTTTTGAACCTTGTGAAAACTTTCTGAAAAAGTGCTGAAAATGTTTTGAAGTTCAAAAAATTCATGAAGAAGTTTCAAGTTTTTCACTTGGTTTTTCACTGAAAAATTGCTGTAAAATTCAAAACATTTTTCACTAGATTTTTCACTGAAAAACTTGAAGTATTCAACCAGTGACACACCACAAAAGTTGTGTATGCACTATGGTAGCAGATAGGTCTTCGTTGCTAATTGACCCTTGTCGTTCGTCAAACCATTAATTATTTTGAGCAGTTACTCGCATCTAGTCTCATGACAGACACTTCATCGTATTAGCTCGTTCCTTGCTCGATAAAGCTCAAGTGTGCCTTGTCAAAAAGTTTGTTTATTTATTTCACGGTATTTGCCTTGCTGCTTTTATCCAACTCGATTTCCCACTGTTAAGTCCCCAAGGACAGCTCGTTCCCTGCGCACAAGTCGTACATATTACCCCAACTCTGTTTGAATCGTAGGCAATGCACTTGCAATTTCTGTCTGGCTGTGCATGATTGTTTGTTTACTCATCAACTATGCCGAGAAGTAGGACTTGACTGGTGAAAGAAGGAAGCAGATCTTAGCAGATCTTGGTTGATAGGACAAAAAACTGGAACGGAGACTTTAAGGAGAAATGGCCAAAAAGGTCTTCCGGTACAGGGAATCGAACTCCGAGCTACAGTTGGTGAATCCGGTATGGTGTAACGGTCAACTGTGCGCAAAGGAAATGATGGCAAAAGCCACCCCCGATCGCCTCTGAAAATCAAGGCCATATCACCAGCAATATGCTCTGCTGCCGTGATTCACCCAGTATCAACCACTGTGGACCTGCCCAGTTATCATGTCCGCACAAGCGGAGATGCCTGAGAAACATTCAACCAGAAATGCTGGTTACACTAACCTGCGGGTATTACAGTACATATTATTCCTTTATCTTCCAAGCAGCAATTGTATTCCACGCACTCTATCAGGAGGTGGCTAAAACCGTAATGATGGAACATTTACACTCTACTTTAAAATTTCTCTCCAATCCGGAACCTTTTCAAGAACAACAAAAAATGATACTCGTACCCTTTAGAAAGGTGAATCCAGGGGCTCACCGACCAAAGAAAAATTAGCCTGATGGCAAGATCAGGGCGCAAATGGCCAAAAAGGTCTTCCGGTGCGGGGAATCGAACCCCGAGCTACCGCGGTCGTCGCCGAACACCATGGTGCTCGGGTGCGTTCATCTTCCTCCTCATTGTATGACTGTGGCGCTGCTGCGCGTGGAAACAACATGTGCAGCACACAGCGCACTCTGCGACTCAGCGTCAGCTCGATCCCGCTGGCGGCTCCTGCGCTTTGGCGAGAAGCTGTTCAGGCACTGCGCGAGCCACTGAGCACAGGTGCCACCTCCTGGCGAGTCGGAGGCAGTAAATATGGTGAAGATACGCGCGGCAGAAGAGGCGTGCGACGCAAGGGACATGGAAAAGCTGCTCGCGTCGTATGAGTATCCGTGCGTGGCGGAGATCCACCACCATCACTTTCAGCACAGGCACAACCGCCATGCGTCCGTCGCGAGTAGCCTGTCAGTGCTGTCGCTGTAGTCGCAGGTGACGGGCATGCCGCGTCGCGTGCCCGAGCCCAAGGAGCCCGTCCAGCGCGAGATCCCGGCGACGTCGCGCTTTTTGGGCGTATTATTTGACGCTGACGGCCCCTGCATCCTCCAGCACGAAATCCAAGAACCCGTTCTGGAAATGATCTTTACTTTAACTTTACTTTACTTTACGCTCATTGGACTTTGGATTATTTGTATTTTCTCGCACTCAACGCTCTTTCGCATTCATGGTCTATAGCCCACCGCATCGTACCACGTTCATTATATCATTATTGTTCCTGTGTCATTAGAGACTGTGTCCCTTACCTGTATGAACTAATGTTGGCTGATACTTCGGTGCTTGTACGCTAGTATTATATTACTCGTAACTGGTGGACTTAGTCGATGTCAGTGACCCCAAATTGAGTTGAAGCTTTGTGAAAAAGCGATAGAAGCCCCCGAGAACTGAACCAGACATGAATGCAGCCTCAATTTTGACTGAAAAGATCCCAAGATTCTCTACACCGCCAACCTCGGTCCCACACATGGTGCCGGGCTGGACGCAACATGGTAATAAATCTACCAGCGCTAAATACACAACCCGAACGGTCAAGTTACACATGAAATGCGTACGGGGTTTGGTATGGGTGTTAGAAAGTGCCATCAAATCCATTATCAATCGCAACCGTTTGGGACGATATTGATCGATCGTCAGCTCGTGCCGCCTGTTCCCTCAAGACATTATTGAAGCCTACCTGTCCATACAAAGAAACCTGCATGCCCTCGCACCTCCTCTCTTCGGCTGTCAAGAACCATAAAGTAAAAAGCCCTCAAGGTTCAAACTGCAGCTGTTCCGAGTCATTTTTGCAATTCTTTCATGCGAGCCACTGAACATCGAAAACTAAGACCTTCTCAGTTGCACACATGTATTTTTGGCTATAGGCAAAAGAAATTTGGACCTTAGGCTACATTGACTGTGGTACACCGCTTTGCAAGTGTGACGAGGGCTGTTTATGGCTGGTGTCCCGTCCTCTGCGGGGAAATGTGCTGATACAGAACCGCAAAATTACGGCTTGCGCACGTCCCGTCAAGCAAAGGTATAACCCGTGTAACCTAGCTAGAATTTGTATTACTCACTGGGTTACCTTGAACGAACATTGCATTATATACACATTCTATTTTCATAATTGTTTCATGGTAATCACCACCAAGGCGCGTGGTTATCTGTTCAGCCATCAACGCTGTCGACAGACCTACTAGTGGGTGTACTGACGAAGAAAAAGAAAATCCTAGGGAGCGAAGCGAAGGGTCCAAAAAGGTATTCCGGTACGGGGAATCGAACCCCGAGCTACCGCGGTCACCACAGCGCACGATTACGTAACATTCGTGAAAAGCGGTAATGTTGACCGTTACACCATACCGGAGTTATGGAGCCTCTGACTAACAGGTATATAGTACCAGAGGGTTGGATGCTCGAATATCTAGAAAAGCAGACCAAAATCGGATAGTAGGTCATTATTTTAGGTTTCGTTACATCAAATGCATACAAAATACTTCCGGCACCCGGGGACGAGCTCTATGGCATATCATGGAGGTCCTTGAATATTCTCAGAATTCTCCCTGCAAGGGGGAAGGCAGCGGCTGCGGGGAAAGATCTGTGATGCATCTGTTATCAAAGATGATGTCATCACTGATCTCATACACAGCCATTCGGCGCAACTTCGGCCAAGTATTTTTGAGCGGAGCGATGGGCGGCCAGTTCGACACCCACTGTTTATGAGCGCAGCGAAGTCAACCTAAGTCGAGAAATGCTAAAATTGCACTAAGGTCGAAAGGGGGCGCGACTTCAACGAAATTCTGGAAAATCATCATGTTGGTTGAAAAATGCCAAAATGCACTAAGGTCGAAAGGGGGCACGACTTGAACGAAATTCTGGAAAATCGGCACGTTGGTTGAAAAAACTGCCAAAATGCACTAAGGTCGAAAGGGGGCGTGACTTGGAGAAATTCTGACAATCTTGAATCAGTTGGCCGGTGTTGAAGAGTCGACCTTGAACGAAATTCTGGAAAATCGGCACGTTGGTTGAAAAAACTGCCAAAATGCACTAAGGTCGAAAGGGGGCGTGACTTGGAGAAATTCTGACAACCTTGAATCAGTTGGCCGGTGTCGAAGAGTCGACCTTGAACGAAATTCTGGAAAATCGGCACGTTGGTTGAAAAAACTGCCAAAATGCACTAAGGTCGAAAGGGGGCGTGACTTGGAGAAATTCTGACAATCTTGAATCAGTTGGCCGGTGTCGAAGAGGGACTTGAACAAACTTCCAAAAACCTTTGACGCACTGGTAGAACAGGCAGATAAGAGATACATATTTTTCGGAACCGCGTGTTACATAAAGTTGATTTATAGAGAGCGACCGACATCCTCCTGCCGCTCAGATCTCGCACCGTATTTAGCGTCCTGAGGCTATAGAGATGTCACAGATAATCAAATCATGTAAAAAGAGTCGCGTACACTGAAATCGTGCATGGTGTCAGTGTCAATGCGAACCGTGATAGCGTCTCGGGGTTGTTGTGGCGGTAACTTTTGCGGGAGATTAAATGGAGAACTCGACAAAATTGCAAGCGGGAAACTCACTCTGGGGAAAGAATATTGTTCGCCGCTGACGGTAGGATTTCCACCTCCGAACTTGATATAATCCCGGGAGTTGAGCGTCACCAGCAGTGAATTAGTGTACAATCTTCCCACTTGCAAGCAAAAGTTAGGAGAGTTTTCCCTCTCGAGATGCACAAACACTTACTGAGGATGTAGAAGAACAAGCTGAGGAAACATCATTGTGTGACTGAGAAGATGGGCTGAGGTACGTACTAGAGAAGTGTGTTCGGGAACGCAGATGTCTGCCAAGAGTCAGCTCGAAGGTTTGATACCATGCACTCTGTCTCACAAAAATAGCCGTGAGTAAAGCGAAGACAGTAGTGGGCAGCCCTGGGGATAGTTTTAATCAATTCTGATTTAACGTTGCATTGATTTACCGGTCGAAAATGTGAACACGATCTGCAGCGGGTCAGTCTCGAAAAAATTTACAGATTCTCAGCACCTACTAATCTATTGAGGATGTCCGTTGACTTGCGGAACCCGGTTTTCACCGAGTACAACAGAAAGATCAAAATGGCCGATATCATCACATCAACCGCTGCAGAGAGACTGTTCGTTACGATCACCAAAGTCTGAAATAGTAATCTCAGCATGAGGAAAGCGCAATTCAACACTAACCTACCTCCAAGGTATGATTGGCGGCCAGCAGCGAATCACTAGAAAACCACTGATTACTAGCACCATGTAGCTTTCACTTGCTTACAATTTGGTGACGCTGACTGTGTCGACATTTAGATTGAGCGAAGAAGGAAATGCAGAATGATCTTACAGATTAACAGCACTGCGACTGTCAGAAAACACAACAACATTTAATATGTGTAAAACCTACCAAATGTTACCCAGCTAATCACAGCCTGTTATTGAAAGATAAATCCAAGACAATGAATACAGAAAACAATACTCATACCACAGCACCTGGCAATACCACCCTGTTTCCAACTACCAAAAGTTTAGCACACGTAGGATACATTTCCGAAAAAATATACCCTTGTAGATTCGCCAGCAAAAGAATCTGTAGACTGTGAGGGACAATTCAAACACCAAGGGTGGGCGTGCAACGAACTGTTGTACTAGGGTCCCGACGGCACCACCAAAGTACAGTTGAAGGAGTGCAGTCCTACGCATTGTATTATTAAGAGATGTGAGATAATCTAGACTGGGTTACTTACTTGACGTTGGAAGTGAGGATCGATGGATTTGCCATTGAGGACACTGTTTGAGGTCATTCCAACAGGCTAGTGCTTTGAATGACCGACATACCTAAAGTTCTGTATACTACAAGGGGAATGAGATTAGTCCAAAAGGTACGGCAGTTTCGTACTCGCGTGCGTCAATAGCACCTGCTGACAGGTATCACAGAGTAGAACCGCGACGACCTTGAGGGCATGAGCACCGGTCCTAAATTCTTCTGAGGAGAGACATACCACAGATTGGATCAGGATTGGATCTGTGGAGTGGTACCTGCGGATGTACAGCCAGAACTGCAAGATTCCAACTGCATACCGGGGTGAGAGTCGGTGGTTTGAGTTGATTGAATAACACACTTCCGTATAAGCTGCAGACCGTCACTGTGAATATCTGAATATCCAGCATGAACCAGGTGACTCACAATGCGGAGAGTACCACTGCAATCAGCACAACGCCATAAATGTTGTCATTTGTGCCTTCCAGAGCCATGGCCGGGAATGAATGAGGGGTTGATGGCTTGCGGATGCATTCTGGCGTGTATTTCTACTCCTGCTGTCAAGATGGGGCTATGTGTCCACTGGGCAAATTGCATTGGTCCCTATTCTGGTCCTCCTGTCAAACTCGGAGCTGATTCTGTGTCAAAGATGACAAAGAAGACAAAGGTGACGGCGGGCGCCACTCAAAAATTCAAGCTCCACCCACACAACAATTGTTGGAGTTGTTCCAGGTTGCGCCCATGATTTTAGCCACATTGTTGCCAATCGTAGGCAGGCTGGTTCTGAGTCGATACATGTCTCCGGTTGGTGCCAATTTCCAATCCTCCTGTCAAGAGTTGTCAAAGAAGGCAATCAAGTCTCGACAGACTGGTTGAATTTCTATTGGTTGCTATACCTGGCAAATCGGGCTACCCGGTATTAGTCTCGATAAACCTAGTGTGAGTTATTGAGTAAAGGATTTGGAGGTACATTTGTTCTTTTGGCTGGGATCTATCTTCCAGATTTGTCCTTTGGCGAGGATTATTTCTAGTCGGTGTATTTATAGTCCGCTTGCACCATGTGGCTGGGAAACTGATGTTGATTATCGGGAACAGCAGATGCGGCATGAGAGAAAACACCGAGACCGACGAAAGAGGGAATGTGAAGATTATTGACGATAGTCATCTGTTTCTATCCTTAACAGTCGACTCCATTCTCGAAGTTCCGTCATTCAAGGATAATCTGCGCTCCGTGAGGTCAAAACCATATCTCCTAGACTTTCGGAAGATCTGCCAAAATTACTAGGACCCAACCGCGATCGGGTCAGCTCAAGCGCCGGACACTGAGAAAAGCAATTCTTATGTTGAAAAGTTCTTCTTCCCTGTTCATCACTGCGATCCGGAAAATGGGCCTGGTCAGATGTTCAGTACAGCAACATTGTGATTTTATTAGGCGTAGATATACGCACGGCTGCGATGCTCAGATCCCATGGATGTTCCACGAGGATGGTAACGAGTGGCCAGATCGGACATCCGACCAGAAGCCGAGATTTGTGTGAGACAACCACAAATTAATCAGAACAAGAAAATTTGCTTACGTGTGGGGCAGGCTATTTTGAGGGATTTTCGAGGCCGCATATTTAAACAATGAGGAGGACCCTCGCGCCTATTTACGTCCAACATTGAACCAAAATTGAACCACGTCCAGTCACATCAGTCACACATCGGTCCACCTGATCCCAGTGCACCTAAGGAGTCGCCTAAAAGGTCACGTGAGGGTCCTCTTAGGTGGGTTTCTCTGTACTAGCTAAACGAGGCAGACCCGCGCTTCTTTTACATAACCGGCCTCTCCTCGGGGCGGGTGCCTCTCCACTGTTGATGGCATCAATTTATGAGCCCGCCGCGTCGGGAATCGGTCTGGCAGCCTCCGCGGTCCGCAAATATTCACCAAATTTGCCCCTCAATAAATACCCTCATGTAGCTCTGCATTTATACTTGATGTTCAGCCTGCCGTTTGACACCCACTTAGCTCCCTGCATGTCCAATCAACAGATTTGAACCCAATAGCTAGGCCTCCGGGCGGTCGCCTACTACATATATATTAGCTCAATTTTCTTTGTATGCTTGGTTGAAGTACTGGAGAGTATTTTCCTCTCAAATTTCGGCACACTATTTCATTTCCCTGCTCAAATTCACCTTTCGGGGATCTCGGCGATGTGTGGAGCCTCTTGCATCGCCAGCAGACTTGGTCTTGCATCGCCCAGTAGACTTGTACACTAGTCATTCTCATTAATTTTCTTCTAATGTTGGAGAGCCCTGAACATACAAGCATGCAACAAGTCAAACAAAAAATTATGAAGGCCTCCAGAGGGAACTCCAGAAGCGGTAGGGGATCAGCAATTCAAAAATGAAACATTGAATTTGAACTCACCAAGTCTTCGTTGATTGTGAGAGGAGCCCTGGAATATGTGTGTACTTTGAGGTCGGAGGGTAGCAGACTAGGACTCGATACCAGCAGGTGTATAAAAAATACGACTATAGACAGAATGAAAAGTCAAATATTCCTGCAATAAAACTCACTTATATAACGATGATTCGTCCCTGATTTCG